TATATATATACATAGATAGATAAATACAAGAAACGCGCGCGCATGCGCGCGGACTTCAAAGGCGCATGACGTCAATGATTAAACCTAAGGTAAGAGGCACAGCTTCAGCTCAGTTTATTTTAAAACGTATACAGTGACAGTGACAAACATGTATCAAAGTAATTGTATTGAGATCAACACATTGAAAGAGCGACAATACACAGGAAAACTCAGACAGTCTACACCAGCTCGTCCAAAAGAAACGTCGCCTGTACACATGTCTAAAACACAGGAGCTCCAAGAGTCTACACCGAAGCTTGAAAAGGCTGCCCCAAAGACTGCAGAGGGACTGCCCTTATTGTGCCCAAAATTTATGTCAAGCAGAGAGTACTTGGACTCTCTAATAATCACACAAAAGCCACTGCACCAGGCAGGTAACGCGAAGCTCAAGCAGTCTACACCAGATTGTCCAAAAGAAACGTTGCCTGTACAGACGGCAGAGGGACCACCCTCAGACGACATGTCTAAATCTCAGCGAGTGCAAAAGGAGCGCAGAGACTCTACACCAGAGCTTCCAAAGCCCAGGCAAAGTACTTATCAGAAGGCAAAGTCCAGTTTGTATCAAACCTTCTTGAGAAGAGCTAAGGCTGCGTCAAAGGTTGCGCCAAAGACTGCACCATGTGATGCAGTCTTTGGGGTACAGCACCCTGAGAAGGTCAATCCCCTGCGCCAAAATAGAGACGACATGCGTACGTGCCTAATAATCGCACAAAAACCACTGCACCCTAGTGAGGCAGGTAACACGAAGCTCAGACAGTCTACACTGGATTGTCAAAAAGAAACGCCAGGTGTACAGACTCCAGAGGAACCACCCTCCCTGGAAGTCCAGGGTCCACTAGCCCCCCCAGACAGCATGTCAGCTGGAGAGGGCTGTTCCTACAATTACAATATGCTAGCATCCTCCTCGCAAAGTACTTATCAGAAGGCAAAGTCCAGTTTGTATCAAACCTTCTTGAGAAGAGCTAAGGCTGCGTCAAAGGTTGCGCCAAAGACTGCACCATGTGATGCAGTCTTTGGGGTACAGCACCCTGAGAAGGTCAATCCCCTGCGCCAAAATAGAGACGACATGCGTACGTGCCTAATAATCGCACAAAAACCACTGCACCCTAGTGAGGCAGGTAACACGAAGCTCAGACAGTCTACACTGGATTGTCAAAAAGAAACGCCAGGGGTACAGACTCCAGAGGAACCACCCTCCCTGGAAGTCCAGGGTCCACTAGCCCCCCCAGACAGCATGTCAGCTGGAGAGGGCTGTTCCTACAACTACAATATGCTAGCATCCTCCTCACACTCACCTCCTGACAGTAACACAGCTGTGGGGCCATTTGTGAACACTGGTATTCCAGCATTCAGTATATAAATTCTCCTCTAAAACTATAACATTCACAACAAAAGACAGCAATAGCGGGCAGCATGGTGGAACAGCGATTAGCGCTGTGGACTCACAGCAAGAAGGTTCCGGGTTCAAGCCACGGCTGACCTGGTGTCTTTCTGTGTGGAGTCTGCATGTCCTCCCTGAGCCTGTGTGGGTTCCCTCCGGGTACTCCGGCTTCCTCCCAGTTAAAAGAAATACAGCTTAGGTTGATTGGCGACTCTACATTGCCCACAGGAATGAGTGTGAGTGCATATGGTTGTCTGTCTCTACACTGTAAGCCCAGATAAGTTGAATTTACTTAAAAAACTGCCATGATTTGATCTGTACATTACATGTACTGAATGCAAAACCTCTCTCTTCCCCTCTGTACTCTCTCCTCTCCAAAATAAAAATTGAGAATCCAAGATTATGTCTAATTTTAATTTGAGGCCATTCATACATCTGTGGTCAGATCTTTTCAGTTTCTGTTGTGCCATAATTCAATAATGCAGATATTCAAAATTGTTTTTACTTTAAATTTGTTAGGCCATAAAATAGAAGTCCAAGTCTGGGAAATACCAGATACTGATTAAATGATTCTGAAAATTAGCAGTAATGGACGCTAGGAGAAAGGAATAACATTGTGGGATCAGACAGGAGCTTAGTCACACCCTGTTCCCTGAAAGTTGCTTTCACTCTGAGACTCTGTTCTTGTAAAACACTAGTTCAGTGTCTGGAGTCAGTATCAGCCTGAAGTGGCTCTACTCCAGTATTCCTAGTGCTCCCAGTGCTCCCTCCTGTAGCTGACAATGAGGTGCTTTAAAAAGTCTCACAGCCATATCTAATGTTGGAGGTTAAAAGTCCTCAGCCCTCTGTGACGTGGCTCCCTGAACTGCCAAATCACCTGCAGTTAGCTCTTCATCCAATCACTGCAGAAGAGGCCCTGTTTTCCCTGAAAACCTTTGCACTGAAGGTTTTAAAAAGGAATGCCCTGTGTGTAAACATCACAACACTGCCCTGTCACAGTCATTAAAAATGCTCAAAGTCCTCAGTGGCAGTCAGTGTACAACAGAGCTGAACTGTGCATCATGTCCTCAGTAATGATAGACTCTGATCTGGCTGCTCTTGGAGGATGAGGACTGATAGCAAGTGAACAGAGGTCTGGAAGGCAGAGTTAAAGACAATGAAAGGCACAACACTGTGTTCATACAACAGTCTGACAGTGATGCACTGATAGGAGGTTACTACATATGGTACCAGTTGATAACACTATTAGCCAACCCTAACCTATCATACCATCTCTGAATCTATCCCTATGTGTGTTTTTTCTTTTTTTTACACAATACTAATATTTATGTGTGTGGATGAGCATATGTGACAAAAGGATACACGCTGGTATCCTTCTTGCGCAACTCCAGCCACCTCTTGTTTCCGTCAATCAGCCCCTGTAGCCTCTGACTGTCTACCTGCGCTGACTTCTGCATGGGCCGCAGGCTATGACCAAGTTCACTGAGACACAGTTTCAGGTTTGTTGTGAGCAGTTTAAGAAAACCAGGATGTGTATGTAAGCTGGTAACAACTACATGAGTAAATGTGTACTGCAGGTTACCTAGCAGGAGTGTATGATGAGTAAGCTGAGGAAGTCCTCATTGTGCTAGAGGCGACTGGGTTCATAGCTGCACCTGGGGAACAGAACGATAGCTCAGGAACAACAACAATCATTACAGCTGGTAAAACCTCTTTATAATAGGTCACATAGTTGTCAGATTTGGCATGTAAGGACATCAAACAGTGTTAGTGGTGGACTCAATTATAAAACCAGACGAACTGATTTAGTGAAAAGGTTTTTACTTGTAATAACTAGGCAACCAATACACAGTCCAGGTTAAACAATCAGGTCGATAAGACAGTCCAGAGTCAGCACCGGTAAACAGGTATAGCCAGGAGATCCAAACTCGAGAGGTTCAGGGGAATAGCTCAGAAGGTCAGTACACTGCAGGCAATCACACACTGGAAGGGCATAGGCAATACACGGTGGTCAAAAACAACAATCCGAGGTCAGAAACAGAGAGTCAGGCAAGGTATGAATGCTGGAGAGTCAGAGCTGGAGTCTAGAACAATCTGGCAGCATCCTAGTGGGAGGACGCTGCTTAAATACAGGAGAAAAAACAGGTGAAACTAATACGAGTGATGAAGAGAGTAAAAAGACCAAAACTGTGGTGAAA